CGATCCCCCTCGTCAGTCTCTCCCCCTGGCCGCCCTCTGCTCCGCCGCTTCTGTCTTCTTTTTTTTGTTTTTTACTAGCAAACGCGGAAGCATGACAGGCGCGCGATCGATCCCAAGACGCTTTACGGCGAAACGCGGCAGCGAAACGCGGAATACCGACGGAAATTTACATTCGTAATGGCGCGCAATAAATATTTATTCGACCGGACATTATTTCAGTTATTTATATGAATCGATATAAAAGCGTATCGCGAGAGAACGAACGGGGGGGAGGACGGGGTCGTAATGACGAGTATTGCCCACGGCGCAAATGTCGATATGAGGTAAATCGGTATTTGCAAAAAATCACGCTGATACTCTGAAATTTTAATCTTTACGATTTTTACAATTAAGCGACTTTCGCGTAAAAACAACATTTTTACCATTTTGCATCGGAAATCTTGAAACAAAAAAATAGTATTTATAAAACTATTCCGTTGTCAAGGGAAAGAGAATATTTTTATGCCATTTACGTTTTACTGTTTAAATTATATTATCTATCTCAGGAATATAGTAACTAATCCTTTATTAATTTACATACAACAAAAAATTGATATGTGAGGTATAAAGATGGGATTACTTATCGTATCGCGGATTTTTCGGAATTTCCATCTTTCGCGGATTATGCTGATCTTCGCGAATCGGCAAATGCGAGTTTAGAAAACCCAGAAAGTTCTCGAAAGCGCTCGCTCGAGATAAGCGAAACGCGATGTGTTATCGTAGCGGGAAATTCCGCACGCCGAGCGAAGAATGAAGGCATTGATATCAAAATCGGTAAATATCGATAAATATCTGTATTTCAAGAAAAATAACGATTAAGAAATAAAACACTATGGTGGAAACAGCTCACTTTGTAAAATCTTTTATTACAAGATATATGTTACATATGAGAAAAAAGTGTGATGTTACACATTAGAAAAAAGTTGCAACATTATTTAGAAATAATAGAGCTACATAAACGCGATTTTAAAACAAATTATTATGTAAATTTTTTTTTACGTGAAAACACGTAAAAAAAAATGACTGAAACAATATCAAAATGGTGGAAAAGATTTACCTTACATAATTTCCTTCTTAATTCCTTTACAAGTCAAGATTTATATGATAACGCCACATTATTGATCGTAATTACTTGTCGGTACTCACAGTATCGACATCAGCATTCCGTGTTAAAAGCCGTGCTTTCGATCGTCCAGAAAAGCCATAACTCATAATGTCTATAACGATCCCAGGGACATTTCACTCGCGCGGCGAAGTTCGTTATAAAAACGAGATTACTCGCCCCCGCCTGCAGTTACGTAATTCGATCGATAGTTTAGGCGTTTCCCGTTTCTGGCGGACGAACGACAGTGCGAGTGGAAGGAAGAAAAAGAAGAGAGAGAAAGAGAGAGGGGGGGAGGGAGAAAAGAGGCAGAGAGCGATGGCAAAGAATAGAGAGAGGAAAGGCATGATGGAAGAAAAAGGGATACCCTTTTTGCGTCTGACTCGCGGGTGGGATTGAGACAAGAAACTTAACGAACCTGCTTTTTTTTTTTAAGGCGCCGATCCTTCCTAGAGCTCGTCTCGGCGCTTTGTAGAAATCGTTTTCGCAACCGATTGTCTAACCGCGATGAATGTGACTCTATACACACAGGGTGTTCTCTTACTGTTTTCTTCGAATGCCTGGATTGCATACCGATTCTTTCTTTGCGAAAAGGAAGATCAAATGGTGGAGTTTAAAGTGCGATCGAACGATGACTCATGTAATCACTATTTTAATTATTACATCATGACGCTTCGAGAAGCATCGCGTCGTATATAATAATTAAAATAATAATGATGTTTTGCAGCTACGAATTAATTTATCGCGAAAATTATCGTGAAAATTACGTATCAGAAATACAATTCAACTGTCTCGTCATCGATGACGGAAATGACGGAAATGACTCGAAGACAACCCGGGATTCGTATATACTAAATGATGGGTGGCGTGTTTAACAACGAGAGACCCACATCGGGAATTCAGATGAAGGAACAGAGAGAAAGATCTCGCATTCGTGTGCTCTCTCGTAAATCGGCCCAGGATAGAAAAACGGTCTTATATAATTCTATAAATAATGTATACGCGCGATTTCCATTTCAGAGGCCGGCCGGTATCTTTCTCACGAAAAGTTCATCGTCCTACGCGTCACTAGCGAGACGAAAGACACGAAACTAAAATTAATGAAAATCGCGGCAGGTGGACTCATGCGACTTATCGACGCATTTTGCGTTCCAGATAAGGAGTGATGTTTCTCGAGAGATCGCATATTTGTGAACCGAGAAAAATTCAACGAAAACAAGACGTTGACAAAAGGCTGGTAAAGTGAAAAAAATGATCGATGATGAAATGTTCGACGACTGCGCAACTCGAAAAGAGACACAAATAAGGGAAAGAGGTTAGATTTTAATCGAATGAGAATTCCAGATTTTTTTGTACGCGCGCGCGCATCCGTAATTTCAGTTTTTACATTCATTTTTCCTTGTAATCCCGCGGGAGAAGATGGAAAGGTGGATTTCCGCGATGCGTACCTTTTGCATGCACAAAATTGCAGATCGATACGCCGGTAACTCGTTTTAAGGAATTTCGGCGCGCGAAATCGCGTTTGCGTAAGCCTGTTAGACGGCATCCCGAACTTCGATTTTCCGAAATACATTACATAATGACGTTTACCGCGATATATTTTTATCCCGGGAATTTCGGGAGACGGGAGGAACAAATTCTCGGGCGTCGAGGGCTGAATTTCGACGTGCGATCCTGACAAATACATACAACCGTCGCAGCAGCTTATCCTTGACTGCTCCTATTTGAAAGTTCGCGTTTACCTGGCTGTTCACAGCTGTTGATGTGTGGTTGGGACTTAAGCTTTTTTAAAACGAGGGATACAATCCAAAGGCTACGGCCACGGAAGGTGATGACAAATAGGGTTCAATATTTTTGAATTTTTATTGTTACTTTTAAAGAAGAAATAAACAACAAAGAAAGAAGAAGAGAAGGAAAGAGAGATAAATAAAGACAAGAAAGAACGGGAAGTGCGGAACAAAAAAGACTAACATAACATTCTTTGTACGCGCGCGTGAATGGTATGGTGTACACTTAAGCACGTTATATTTATTTGTATTATCGCGTGTCTTCTGAAAAATTTATGTCAATTTTATTTTCGTAATTTTAGGATTAACTTTCGTACATTCTTATCGAAAATTTCGTTATTAATTTTTGATCGTCGATTTACCTCTCCGTCGTATAATTGAAACGTTATCATTGTAACAGTCACAAAAAATGCATAATTTTTAATGATAACACGTTCGGGATAAACATACGCAGATAAAGCATAATAAAGATAAAAAAAAGAGACGACAAAAAAGATAAAAGAAATAACATATATAAAATACAATAAGAGTAAGAATAAAAAATATCATATCAAAGAAGGAATAAACTTATCTGAGATCAAGTGTCAGTTCTAAATCTTATAGCCCGCCTTTATTAAGAGCTTTATAAGAGCTTATCGGGGTTATCGTTGCAAATTTATTGGCAATTAAGAACGTTGCATGCATTTACATCAAGTTGTCAGCGGTTATCAGCGTGACAATCTCCGATCGCGTTCTTAGTCGCGTTCTTAGTCGCTTAATCTCGCGGACGGGATAAATCTCTTTCGCGTCTCTTGCGTATTCGCTCGCGATGGCGCAAGAAAGTTTCTTATCTGCCGCGCGTAAGTCACGCGCGGATTTTCTAATAATGCACGCGGATCTCTCGCTGTTTTGCCGCGCGTCGGGACGCCCGACGGGTTTAACGAGCAAGAAACCGAGTCTTGCGCCGGGTGTGCGTCTTAAAGCGAACGAACCCCAAAGTACATGCGTAAATACTTGGATACGTCGAGCATCCGGTATGCCTCTACGCGCATTTCCCGCACGCAGAAAAGTGCTTCCCGACATTTTCCGAAATTCTGTCCGCCGAAATTCGTCTCTCTCTCCCTCTCTCTCTCTCTTCTCTCTCTCTCTCTCTCTCTCTCTCTCTCTCTCTCT